ACTACTACTACTACTACTGCTACGAATAGTACTATGTGGGGCCATCCGATGCTTCTGTCATTCCAGGCCTGCGCTGAAGCGGGAGCCTGGACGAAGGCTGGTTGTGAGAAGACCTTCTGAGACAAGTACAACTAAAGCCACGGCAGGGTTTAAGGTTTAGGGCTTAGGGTTTAGGGGTGGTACTGGCAATTGTACTCTTAACATCTCTTTGCAGTACTAGTAATGGTAACACAGTTTGTAATAGCAATCGGAATTTCAATAGGTACAGTCGTAGTAGAAGAAAGAGTAATAGTACTCGTAATGGTGTATTAAGTCTCAAGCTAATGCTAAGATTTATAATTGCAAATTATAATGCTGGTGCTACCGATAATTTCCGTAAACATGCTTAATACTTCTGTTACAAACATTTACTACCCGCTGCCGCCACTTCTGCTGCTAATGCTGCTGCAATTGCTACTGCCGCCACTACTACCACGGCCCCCACCAGCAAAACCACTACCACTATCACTACTGCTGCTCCGACTACTACTCCGTCACCAATGATGCTAGTATTTCTTCTGGGTTTAGGTTCTAGGGTTTTTATGTTAGTTTGCAATTGCAATGCTAATGCTGCTTCCTTGACCCTCATGGCACCCTTGATTGCCAGCGAGGCGCTAGCTTCGTGTCGGCAAATTCCGGGCTGTGATCGTCACCTGGCATCAAGTCCTGTCATTATATGACCCATAATCTAAACTCCTTTATGGGGGTTATATAGAGGACTACCATTGGGTCTATTATGGGGGATACCAGGAGTTTAGACTATAGCTCATATTGCTACTATTCGTAGTTTGCCGGGTATGGTTTTTGGCTGTGGTCTGAATCCCAAAGCCCAAGCCGGAAGCCAGGCCTCTGAAACCATCTGAAACCTTGGGAAACCTTGGTGCCTTAGTGCTGAAGATGTGAAAATAAGAAGGGTTGAGGAACCGAAGGGAAACCTGTGTGGGAACCATGAGGCGAAAGTAAATAGCGATTGGCCAAGCCCTTGCCTTAAGTGGAATCTTCCCGCATGCGACACGGGCACCTTGGTTTTCATCTTGCACGAGCACGAACTCTTTCCCTACAAGTGTGTGGCAGTGTCTTGTCGCAGGTGAGGCCAGAGGAGGTGCTATCACAGGAAACATATGACTACAACCTTTCCAGGTTGCTGCTCTTCCTTGTGCTGCAGCAGTAGAAGTATGAGAACGGGCCAGTAATGCTAGTAGTATTGGCATGTACAAGGTTACGTGGTATTCGCATGATGCTGCTCGCTAAGCGGCAGAAGGGGAAGGAACAGCTGAGCAGCACTTGTCCTGGGCTTGATTCCAGACTATATCGGAAGATAGCGGAAGAGAAGAAGCAGAGAGCAGCACCAATAGCAAAAGTGTGAACAATCATGAAGATTGCGATCGCCTTTGCAGAAGCGGCATTGTCGAGACCCTGCGAAGAATCTTCTAAAGCTGGAAAATGGTTTCGCTCAAAACAGGCATCTGCTTCAACTCGGCTGCCTCTGCTTTTGAGTCTGCTGGACCGTGGCCTCACGCCGCTGCTCAACTCAAGTCTTGAGTTTCACTCATTTCCCATCGCCTCTTTTGCGGTCTTTTGCCAGGTTCGGCTTTTTGCTGCGCCTGCGGAGAGCAAGGTTGTTGGTTCGTTTTGCTTTACTGGGGTGGTGTCTGGCTCGCTGCCTTGATCAGGCACCTGACGAGATCGGCCTGGCTTCAGCACAGCTTGCAGCAAGCCGCGGAGGTGCAATGGGTCCTGCTTTTACCTGGGGAAGGGGCTCAGGCATCTACATAGTGTGCAATTGGTCAGATGGCTGGCGGGCTGTACTGCTGCTCGGTGAGAACGCCTTGCAGCAGGCGCAGTGCAGTCTGCTTCAGCATGCATTGCTCCTTCGCAGGGAGTTACAAGCATGGGTCATCATGGGTCATACACGCGGCACTGGACTGCTCTTCCAGGCGAAACTGTTGACATATGTGCCACTATATAGATTGTAGGACTGATGCAGGACAGCACTGCGCTCAAACACGCTGAGCAACATCAAGGGCTGCCGTATGCAGAAATCAGATTTCGCGTGTGTCGTGCACGGGGTTGTCTTGCAATGGCCAAGCGTTTGCAGCCGCGCCGTTTGACCTGCGCTGCCGGCCCAGGACTACAGACCTAAGCGTCTCAACATGGATTGTAGTGGACAGTGGTGGCAGTGACGCATGCTACATCGTGGGGAATGCAACATAATGTACAAGGAATAGAATGATCAATGGGATGAGCATAAGAATGCAATTGAGCAGGAACCACGCAGAAGATTGAAATAAAGCCAGGAAAAACGAACATGGAATGGTTCGGAGCGCCTTTGTTTTGCAGCAAGTTTGGTGTCCTACACGGGCTTCGGGATTTTTACAGCGATTTTCACGTTTTTACAGCTTGCGTTTTCACAACGGCTTGTTTGGGCTTACTTGCAACAATATGGATATCTTTAAAGTGAAAGGGGTCCTTGCAACTAACTTTTCTGTTTCTGAGACGATTTCTGTTTTATTTCCAACTATTTTTGGCAGCGATTTCTTATCTCTACCTCGTCGTTTCCTGCTTGTGTCCCATTACTTTTTTTGTTTGACCCGTTGCTGTTCTAATTTGTTTTTCATGTCTCTCTCGTTTGCATTCTTCCGCGATTTAAAAAAAGTCAGCAGGCGGTAACTCTTTGGATATCAGCTGAAACCAAATGTTCACAGGACTTCTACTGCTCTCCTTGGCTTTCGTTGCGCCAGCCCCTGGGCTCAGCATGAAAGGAGTTGTTCCAAACCCGTTTGTTCCGGGGAGGGGTGTGTTTCATGTTCTAAACCCTAAGCCCTAACAGGATCCGGCTTTGCCACAGGTATGCTTGATGTAGCTTGCGTCTGTGTCATGAATCACCGGAACTCAGTTTCGCCGAGGTCGGTTTCAGTGGCTGGAAAGCTTCTATACCCGCCGAGCCTGCGCAGAGGAGTTGTTTCAAAGCTTGGGGTTCACGGTCGAGCGAAAATCGGAATATCCTCTGTTGCAGGATTGGCAAGACTCCAGACTTGAATTCACCATCTATCTCGCATCCAAAGCCTTTCCAGCAGGCACCTTTGAATGTCCCTTGGACAAAGAACTGGGACTGAGCCTCCTGGAAGGGAGTAGTTTCCATTTTCTTTTTCCATTATACTATCATACATTCTAGTAGTTTCCATTTTCTTTTCCATTATCCCAATATTACCCCAATATAATACAAACATGTACCTCTTTTGGGGGGAATATACTATAAGGGGCCTACATTCCCTAGTTTCCATTTCATTTTCCATTTTCTTTTCCATTTGATTCTCCATTTTAGGGGGATAACCCTAAACCCTAAACGCTTTTTTTGGGGGGCTCCGCAGTTCTGATCGTGCCCAGGTGGAGCCTTCCACACTGATCTCTTTGGCAGCCTCCGTGCTCTTTGCCGTGGCTCTTTGCTTTTGCAGGCCGGCCTGTAGCTGTTCGAACTTACATGCGTGGGCTATATTGGGGTTACACTAGGGTTATATTAGGATTCTATTAGGGTTATGTTAGGAGTATATTGGGGTTATATTGGGGTTATACTGGGGTTATATTAGGATTCTATTGATTAGGGTTATGTTAGGATTATATTGGGGTTATATTGGGATTTTTTGGGTTATATTGGGGTTATATTGGGGGGCCAACCAGAAGGTGCTGTGAAATGAGTCTGGCAGGCCTGGCGTGGCTTTGGCTGGAAGCGAGAACTTAGCGGCCGTGGCGCCCTGTTTGCTGAGCAAGTGCCAGCTGCTTGCCATGGCAGCTCACAAGATTTCTGGTGTAGGCCATGTACCACAAGACCTGGAAATGTTAGGCATCAAGGGCTGGGGCTGGCGGCCTAGACTGCACTTGCTGCTGCACGCACGGATGCCAACCCAGCCTGGCACGGATTAAAATAGTAGTTTCCCAAAATGGGGGGACTCCAATATCGACCCCAATATACTGTTACTGCATTTCATGGCGGCGTGCAAAGCGGTATCCCTAATCTTGGGAAACCTCAAGCCCTAAACCCTTATATCCCTCTACATAGCAGCATATCTTTAAAGGTACCCCCCTCAATGTTGGGAAACCACCAAAAATATTTCTCCCAACTGTCAGACCAGCAAGTGAAGTTCCAAGAATTCGCTCGCTGGCGGTTTAGGGTTTAGGGCTTAGAGTTTAAGTTTAGCTATACGGGAGTATCATCCCTATATACTCCCTACATAATATACTCTAATATTCCTTACTAGAATGCCAGGATACGCCCTATTGTAATGTAGTAGTTTCCGTTTTCTTTCCACTATCCCCTTATAACCCCAATATATATATGTATATATTCCTTTATTCCCTAAACTCCCTAAACTCCTTAAGCCCTATGACCAGTAAGCTGCTGAAAGCAGCTCAGGCTACCTTTGGCCAAGTGCATCCTGAACCCCAGCTGCGCAGCCGACTTGTCTGGAGCTCAGGCCGCCAATGCAACAAGATGAAGTCCTAATATTATTCTTGTACTTTTTATGTCTAATATTACAATTAGTCCTGTTATCATTTTTACGATGCTTTTCTTCCTCACTTTAGCAATATTACTCTAACCCCATTCTTGCTGTTACTCTTACTGGTACTATTGCTATTACCATTAATATTAAGTATGGATTATCCTAAGGACCTGTGTCATTGGGTGTGCTGGGCGCCCGGACGAGTCCAGCTGCCAGCCACGCAGCCGCATGCAGCACGTGGTTTCGATTTGTGCAGACGATCTTTTCTACCATTGATGGCATTGCCCAGGATTAACTGCGGCAACTTTCTTGAAAACGATGCTGTTGTGGAATTCAACGCTTGCGCGCTGAGTGCCAAGAAGTGTGCCTTGCCCTCTTTCTCATGATGCCCACGTAAAGTGCTTCAGCATGTTTCAGTCTTACAGGCGGGTAAAAGAACGCTGCTGAACTTGCGTGTCATACCTGCTTCAATTTGAGGTGTCCCGCAGCGGCCTGACAAAGGCCCAGTGCCCGGCGATGCCTCCTGGGACCCGGTGAAGGGCCGTGCCTTGGGTAATTGGTAGCTGCTTTCCTTTGCTATTGCCAATGTGAGGCTACCCTGCGCCTAGCCAAGTTAGCCCAATGATGACCTATGCTGGTCATTGACTTAGGCTATCCCGTGCCACCCCCTGAATCGGTCACGGCCACCTGTTTGCATTAGATGCCTTGCAAGTTGGCTGGTCGATTCTCATGCAAGCAATTGTTTCGGACATTTTGGACGTTGTTGTTCTGCCTAGCTTGGGGCAGGACGACTTTGAAGTTGCCAAGATGACCGGTCGTTGGTACATCACGGCCGGCCACAGACTTGGTCTCTGGCTTTGGAAGTTGGAGCGAACCAAAGAAGACTGCATGCAGAAGTTTGGGGGGAGCTTGTGCGCCTCCGGCTAGGTCTCAACCCTTTGTTCGACACGTTCGACTGCCAAGTCCACTTCTTTGAAGGACTTCTGTTGCTAAACTGCCCCCTCGCCTTGCCAAGATGCGCACGCAGGAATGGCACCAAAAGACAACTCTCCGGGTCGGCTGGTGGGAAAGATCAATTGGTTTTGCCCTCAGATGTCCTGGAGCTCTGCTTCCCTGCAGGCCACCACCCTAAACTCATGCGTAATCCCAGTTTCCATTTTGTTTTGCAGGTTTTTGTCCATTTCATACTCTATTCTTTGGCTTCTTTGGGTGACTTTCCTATATAATGCCCTATATACTTCCGTCCGGCATGAGGCGCATCAATGAGGTGGACGGCGAGTTCATCTCAAGGTCTACTGTTCAGAGTTCCTTGGTTTTACCTGCATTGGAATCCAGTGTCAACATAGTCGGAATACACCAGTATATTGGGACTTTGATGGTACTTCATTCCCAACAGAGTGTTATCACCACATTAGACAACCCTAAACACCAAATCTCAGGACTTGTGCCTTGGTGAAAATAGGTCCCCCCCAAGAAAACTAAAGCCTAAACCCTACAACCCTAAATCCTAAACATGCACTCGGCAAGGACCGCCATTCGCCGCGAGGTGAAAGAGCGCTGCAAAAAAACCTAACACTTCCTTGGTTTGCTGAAGTTCCTGGTCTTGGCCGGCTACATAGGATGAATAGCTGACCTCTAGGGACTTTAGGAGGGACCCCTAATAGGGACCCTCAATCCCATTACCATATATAACCCTTATTTAGTCATTATATAACCCCTATATCCCTATGTACTCCCCATATCAACCCCCATAAGCTACAAGGGTCCCCATTAGGGGTCCCTCCTAAAGTCCTTAGAGACTTAGGCTTTGTCCAGACCAAGCCTGGGCTCCTCGAAAACCATGGGAACGAGTACTTGCACTACCAGGCTGGAGCGTTGAAATGCATTGAAGCCACAGGGTTCCAGATGTAGGGTGTCATAATAGCAATAATAGTTCTGATAGTCGTAATAGTAATAATATTGATGATGATAGTAGTAATAACAGCAATAGTAGCAATGATAGTAAGAATAGAAAATAATGTCAAGAATAGTAATACTAGTAGCAAAAAAAACCAGTGGGTGGAGCCTACAGGATGATTGGTACGTTCTGGATCACGCTGATGAAGATGATCCGGAGATGGGCTTTGTTCCTGCATTGCAGTCAACAAGTTGTTTCTTCCAACTGCTTTTGGTGATTGTTTAGGCCCATGCCTTCTTGTTTTGATAAACACCACATAAACCCAGTCTCCATTTCACTTTCCATGTTCTTTTCCCTTAGTGGGGTAATGCCCCTATATATCCCTATATGAGCTAGTGTCTAAACTCCTTAAAGGGGGTTATATAGGAGATTATATAGGGGAGTAGTATGGGGGTTATTAAGGGGGATACTAGGAGTTTAGATAATTGCACATATGATCCCTCATGACTGCAGAGAGCTGAAGGTACTGATCTACTACCGGGGGCAGCTCCGAGTCCGCAATTTGTTTTGCTGTTAAGGACCTTGATTTCAAGTTACTACACAGGGGGGACCATATTGGTTGCTATGTATGCCCATAATATGGTAGCTGGTAACTTAAACTTAACTAAGGAACTAAGTTCCTTAACTGTAACCCAGTTTTGCCTCCAGTGAAGATTTTAAGTTCCGTGCTCCGGAGTCTCATGCGCGTTCGTCATGGCGAGTGCCTCGCACAAACTTTTAATTGCTGACTACTTGGGTGTTTCCTTAAATTGCGGGTACCATCTTGGAGGTCCCCAGAATAAGGATTAGTGATTAGAGTATTTCGGGGTCTGCATTGGGGTTCCCCATTTTGTGGAACTGCGACTTATGTATTTGTAAGACGGATAATCGAGGAACGATGCGTGGGCTGGATATGGCGGAGGGACCCTATACACCCGTGCAAAGACGGTGCCGCCTCAGTTCCTCTGCTGCATGTGATCCAAACCTCCACGGGAATTTTAGGCTTTAGACCCAAAGCATGTTCCAAGTGCTGGAAATCTTTGCAAGGATTCTGGACCGTGTCAGAGAAGCGACAGCGAAGGCAAAGGTACCTTTCGACAAATTCTGGAAGGCACAAGCTGCCAGGGTCTGGCGCTGTGTGTGGTTCTGGATGTTGCTTTTTCCGCGAGCTCTCCGCACCTGCACGGTGGGCAGCAACTTGCGCAACTTCTCTCTCCATTCTCTTCAGCTTGCTTCCAAGCTTGAATCGCCAGAAAATGCAACTTGCAGTGACGACAGGTCACAGACAACTCCTGCCCTGTCGAGGGGGACCCTAAAAAGCTTCGCGTGCGGCTTGTCTGCAGGTGACGTTGAATCAAAGCTGTTGAATCCAAACGCTAGCCAACGCCAGATAATTCATATCTACTGTGTTGCAATGGCTTCTGTTTGTTGCATGGGGGCCTACGAAATAAGCAAAGTCAAGGTCGGCACTAAGCGAGTCAAGTGTGATAGCCCTTGTGGCTTGAGGCTCTATGCCGAGCGGCTCGTCCAGCAAGCGGAAATGAGAGCTGAGGAGCTACCCGGCTGTCACTAAGTGCAGAGTGACCCAAGTGCCGCAGAACATGGCGTTTCTTGAACTTGTTATGAGTTTCTTGCGCTTCTCTGCCCGCTCGACCTAGGCAGTTGACACGCCTGGCAAGGAAAACCATTTCCAAGGTGGACAAAGAAGAGTTGCTTGGAAATAGTTTCAGAAGTTTAGACAAGGTAGGTGTGGGTTTGTGTGTGGTCTTCCAAGCTGCATGTCGCCCCCAGGAAGGAGATCGCTCAAGCGGCCCAGCGGCTTGAGAAAATGACGGAGGCCACCTGTTCCTGCAATCTTGAGGGAAAACTTGTCGCTTTTGAAGAACTGCCCAGAAGTCAGTCCGGACCTTCCACAACTGGCACCTGTTGACACGCTGCCTGCCAGAAATTCGTCAAAGAAGAGCTGAAGGTGACTGAGAAAGCGCTGCTGGGCAAGATGATGTGGGTGGTTGTCAAAATTATGGTCCCTTTTTGGGTACCCTAAATATTAGGTGCCGTATTATAATAGGGACCCGAAAAGGGACCATAATTTTGACAACCACCCATGTACTTCTCAATAGACTGAGCTTTTTTGGTGCTAACATGCTTCAAAATTTCGGGGCTATGCTGCCACACCATGCAAGGATTGAGGACGAGGAGCTTGCGACGCTCAGCTGCAGACAACTCTTTAAAACCGACCCCTCTGACGTGTCTCTGCCAGCCCGGGCTGTGAAGGGACTATAAATTTAGGACGCATTTTCGCACTTCTCGCTTGATTTTGATTTCTCAAATTTGATCCAAGGTTGGAGGCGCCATTGCGAAAGCTCAAGCAGTTCTTCACTCCCAAGTCTCAGCGTCGCTGATGACAGTGAGCGGGCCCCCAGCATCAGGATTCCGAATGTCCTCCAACACTATAGTCTCGGAGGTATTTTGTTCCAGCCCATGGAGCCAGCATAGCCTACGCAGCAGGGCTTGAGGGGAGAGAGCGATAACTGCCCAACTCTGCTGGAGTGGACGAAGTCCTCATAGAAACATTAAATGGTAATTTCCATTTTCTTTTCCATGATCCCTATATAACCCCTATATCCCCCCTATAATATTACGTTACCCTATATTACCATTCCAATCCGGGTGCTTGCTGAGCTTGCAGGCACAATGTCGCGCAAGCTTAGCTCCTGTCGTTCTAGATTCGATCCCGTATCGAATGAAAGCAGTCTGGCGGGCACAAGATGCTGCCAAAACAAAGGCTGTCCCAACGGGGTCAGCTGCAGATTTTTCACGTGCACTTGCGCTGTATATCTGCTTGGTGTATTTGAATCACTGTATGCTGCCTGCGGTGACGTGTGGCTTTCTTCGGTTTGGGAAAGAGCCACCTGCGAGTAGGGCGATGCGAAAGCAAAACAGCTGGAAGTGAGTAGCTGGTGGTTCCTTCCTAGGAGAGAGCTGCCTGTCACGCGGCAATTAGAGAGCGACCGGGTCTCTGGAGCAAAACTGGCAGTGTCGAAGCTCATTCTTCATGGCGCTTTATGAGTGACCTCGTACAGCATTTGCTGGCCACCATTGTCCAGAAAATTATGATAAAGGAGTTCAGGATTCCAAGTTAAGTTGCTAGGAACCCATTCCGTTGTCGATTGCTGCAGCCTATTCTGACAGTCTGAAGAAGTCCTGCAGCCAGGCGCTGAGACCGCACTTGGCCGTCTCCCCATTTCTCCCTGGAATCTTCTCAGGAAAAAGTATGGCAGCTACCATGGGCTTGGAGAGCCGACTGCTAAAACGGAAACGGGGTGACAAGTAGGGATCCTTGATCAGGAACGCTCCGATCTACGCCGAAGCTCTGGCATCAGGTGCTGCAATTGAAGGGGGCCACCTGCTCGGTGAAGACATGCATTGCTTGTTCATGACTTGCCAGAACCCACCTGAGCCAAGCAAGGAGTGTGCCGAAGAGTGTGCTGCCAGCGCTGAGGGCTTGCAGGACGGTAGCGAGCTGAACTTCTTTCTGCTGCCGCTCAATTACACTGTTTTGCTCCATTTTTACTTGCCTCCTTGCATTGAAAAGCTGCTGCAGTGGCTTGCAGGAGGCAAGTCGGTGGATAGAGGCCGAGCGGCCAGATGCATGAGTTTCCAGTGCAGGTGGACCAGCAAGGGAAAGAAGCATTGGCTGGCTCTGTCCTTTGAGGCTTGCGATCTACTTCAGAGCTTGGTCATCAGCAGGGCTGACCAGGCGAACAGTTGGAAGCTGGCGCCTGGACTCGAATTGCCTTGCAGTAAGCTTTTTTTGCTGCTCCCATATTGACTTCCTAGATGTATTTTCATCAACTGACAGCATTAGATGTGGGAGGAAGATTAGATGTGGGAGGAAGAAGCTTGAGGGTCCAATCCTTCCCATCCCCTAAACCCTAAACCCTGATCCCTAAACCCTGAAGTAAAAGTCCCAAAGGTCGCAAAAAACCCTAAACATTCAGTACTGCCCCCCCCCGAGTAACAGTTGGATAATAGTTATAATATGGTTATATATAGCCCTTAATGGGACCCCGAATATAGACTGTTACTGGGTGCGGGCAGTACCCAACCTAAACCCTAAAACCCTAAAACCCT